TCCCCTCCAAACTTAACTCCCAACCAATGTGGGACTTTGGCATTTTGCCAAACTTCAACAAAAGGAATCTATTGATTCTCTCCCAATTGGTTAGACCGTAGGTGCGATAATTTACTTCACGCTTGAGGTCTCTGGTTCAAGTCCAAGATGAAAAGTAGGCCACTTCTTATGTCACATAGGTAACACTGTTGTTGCAAAAACCTACATCTTCCAGCAAAGGTAAAATCCTTTGCTCAATCTATTTCCAATTTCCATGCAGGTAGTGTCATTTGACTACATTTCACTGTACTGATTATTTCAGAAAGTCTTGTTAACTTTTTGTGGGATAAAATCTTAAAAAGATCCGTTTGTGTCCAAAAGCACATATATTTGGTTCTCTTTTATGAAGACAACCACTCCTCTTATCAATGACAAAATGACTAGGTTTACGCTTTTGTCTTTGGAAATTTTCACGTGATGAAAGCAAGGCATTTGCTTCTTAACGTGTTTTGCCACGAAATGAAATCATAGATGACCAACTGGAGTCCTTCCTTCACAAAGGAAAAAGTATGTTGATGCTACTTACTGCTAATGCTTTTTCAGATTCTCTTTCGATCCAAATGATTCCATGATCAGCTGTAGCATTGTGTGACAACACGATATGCTCAAATCTTCCGTCAACTGGGATGGCAGTTCTAACATCTGGAGGGTACCTCCCACATCTGTCAAGCAGGAAATTGCACATCAGGAGTATTAAAGCTTCACTGTTGAAAAAATATCATAAACACTGAGTGCTAATATCATAACCAAGAGGAAATCTTTACATCGTCCTAACAACAACAACAACAAACCCGGTGAATCCCACAAGTGGGGTCTGGGGAGGGTAGAATGTACACAGACCTTACCCCTACCTTCAAGAAGACAGAGAGGCTGTTTCCGGAAGACCCTTGGAAAAAACGTTTTTTTTCCTAAAATGGCAAAGTTGAGAGCCAAAATGGTGGAAAACCCCATGGTCTCATCTGAAAATATTGTGCTGTAGCATCGTCTGTACAATAATCGTAAATGCCTAAGCGAGCGCCGACAGTTACATGAAGAGAATAAATACATCGTAGCATCAGAAAACACAAATAGGAAACATACGGATAATGAAATTCGTTAGGTAGCTAGTCTGAAAATCCTGGACATGAGAGAAAGAAATGAACCAAGAATCTATTCGTACTACTAAAGGTTCTTATCTCTCCCACTCTAAACCAACTCATGGTGCAATTTAGGGAAAACAACAGAAGAGGATAACGATTTTTTAAGATTAACTCAAACTAGGGAAACAAAAGCAATAAGGCTAAAATGCTTCTTGTCCAACTAGTGAGAATAATTCACCAATATCTGAGGACTGAGATTAGTTCAACTTTATTCTGCACTCGTCTATTTAATAGGAGATAAAGATGCCGATGCATTTCATATGAAACTGTTCTATACTATCTTCAATAATTCAGGGAACTAACGGAACACAATGCCTCTATTTGTCAGGGTTAGTATATCCTAATCAGTGGATTTAACAAGATGAGGACAAAGAATATTGTCAAGATCGATAGTTGAACGAACACCACTTAAGAGCACAATGTTTCGGATGACTCATACTAGTTGATAGTGGCAAGCATCAGACCCCAACACCAATTCGATAGACTTATAAGCCGGGTTGTGAAACATAAACAAGGAAATCAAGACATCAGAATATTAGAAAGGAATGAGATCTCGTCATGCACAGAACTGAGGGAAGATAACACAAATCAAACGAAGCACGCAATGACCACAAGCAATGGTCGGCGGTTCTGTGAAAGTCACACCGACAGAGGCTAGGTTATATCATATTCACTAGTTTGCATTACTTTGACAGTACATAGCACACTAGTAACACTCATCTGAATGTGCTTTACCTGCAGAATCTTCTTTCTACAATGTGATACATACGGCCTGGTGCATAAAGTCTTCTTGGATCTCGGAGTTTTCTGCCCTCAGGAATGAAGGTATCTCTCAAGCATACCAAAAATATCAAGCACGGTAAACTGTTGAAAGCATTAATGCCTGGTATAAGAGATAATTATAGCAATCACGCAACGGCAAGAAATCAGAGAATATAGAGAAAGTTTTATTATGCACACAGAGTGTGGATTTAAACTAACCAGAAGATGGATTTAAATATATCTTCAAGTGGGGTGGCTGTTCTTGGCAAGAAATCATCCTGTTAGGAAAGAGTCATGGTTACGTTGTAAATTCACTGGATGTGATGGTTCATGAATTTCTCATGGCAAATTAGCACATAAATATATAATGCCTATAGATCAAGATGCCATCTATAACAGGAGGCACTTAAATTTACAGCCGAAAACAGATGAGATGATGCTAGTTGAACTGTCTCAATGTACTTCAAGTCTTCAACTTCTCACTCTTGGCAGTAAATTCCAAAAACAAGAGATAGTAAAGATTCAACTTTACTGTAAATCAAAGGAATGATTAACTGCTCATTACAAAAATTGGTTCTTTCCTTGTAGCATTTGCAGACTACATTATCCTATGCCCAATATTTATCAGCTAAATCAACTTACTACATTACTCTGAACCCGTTAGTAATTAGTCCCTAGTCGATCTCTCTTTTCCCGGTTGAACCGACCACCTCACCACTTATTAATAACATCTTCCAGAATACATTCCCAATATTTAAGCATTCTCTGCATGAGCAAATGCAGCATATGAAGGCAGTTCCAATCAATTCGAATTACATACAAGATAATTTTTTTTGAATATTCAAAGTGTGTGTCACGTCCGCATTCTTTGCCACAAAAGAATAACTGGTGAAAAGTGTATTACCTACGCACTGACTCAAAATTCTGGATTAATTTCCGACACTTACCTGCAATACCACAGAGTGTATTATATCAGCATACTTAACAGCCAAGTTGAGTGACATGCACCGCGCTGGTGCAACTGCATAACACCTTAAAAGACTCCTCGGGATTCCCCCTAATCTATCCTTATGATTCGCCACAATTATTGTCAGCAACGACGCCACACCAGAACCCAAAGAATGCCCTGCAAAATAGATGTGGCAAAATCAACCAATTTTTCGTAATCCGCCCAACCGTTGGGATAAACTCGAAATGACCCATTAAACTATTGGTTCAAAGTAGGATGACTTGTTGTTGACTTTACTCCAGCTTGAACTTGAAATGACCCATCAAACTATCAGGCTACCAGACGGGTAAAAATTCATCCCAACTCCAAAAATACAAAATTACATTTGGAGGTTGGAAATTATACAAACTTATAAGAACTTAAGCTAAAAAAGGGCAGCCCAGTGCACTCGGCTCCCGCTATACATGGGTCCGGGAAAGGGCCGGACCACGAGGGTCTATTGTACGCAGCTTCAGCAAGAGGTTATTTTCACGGCTCGAACGCGTCCTGGTCATATGATAGCATCTTTACCAATTACATCAAGGCTCCCCTCCACATTTTTCACATTTTTTCCAAGATGCAAAAAAAAATATTAAAAAAGAAGAGGTTGATTCATGTTAAACAGGTTGGATTATGACCCATTTTAACTCGCTCAAAATTTAATCCAACCAGCCTATTTTGCTATATTTACCTGCAAATATCATCTTGTAACTCTTCCTATTCTCAATCCAAAGCTTCTTCAAAGTATCAGACTCATTATTCAAAACCCAAACCGCAGATTTCAACAACCCATGATGTACATACCCTCCATCAAACATCTGTTTCCCCAACCTATTATCCAACAAAACTTTGTAATCACTTTCGTTCAGTAAATTCAACCCACGAATAGCGACTACAATCTCTTGGTGCTCGTGATCACAGTAGATCAAATACGGAGGTGCATTGCCAGATGTTTGTTCATATGTGGCCCGTTTAATGACCCAATCGGGGTTTAGCCTGTACCCACCCTCCGGCGGGTACTTGGGGCTACGGAGGTTTGGTTCGTTTACTGCTAGAATTGTACGGCAGATACGTGGAACTGGTTCGAATTCCTCGTAGGTAGCTGTTGGCCACGTATCACTGTCGTCATTGCCGGTGTACGTGCAGCGTTTCCATGCCCAACGGAGACAACCTAAAATCAACACACACTCAGCTCCACAAGCTACTGACATTAGTTACCGTTATGTGAGCTCAAATGATACTTAACTTTTTTGCAAGGAAACAAAGGCGACTCAATAAAATTAATGGCATCAAACCAATTAATGCAACTGAACTCAATGTAAAATTGCTTTTGGTCTTTTCAAAAGGAAAGTTGGGGAAGTAGCTGGAAGTTTCACGTGTGTGATAGAGAGGATTGACTGATTTTTATTGGAATGACAGAGACGTGAGGGAAAGTGTTGTATACTGTATATTACAGAGAGGATTTTGATTCTGGTTCTTGTCTTAATGTCTAAGTATGTGTTTTTCCTTTTCTTGATTTTTGTATGAAAAGTTTGAAGTCTTCTGCTGCATCATTGTTAGTTGGTGATGAATAAGTTTTGCCTCGGCATTGCTGGACACCAACTGTTTCTGTTCGGACAATTTTTAAATACTCCTTCCCGTTTCAAATTTAAAAGAAAAAAATACAAGGTCATTTATCCTTCCGTCTCAAATTAGATGTGGTTTCTAAAATTATATTAAATTAATTATTTTTTTCCTATTCTATTATTAATATTAGTTGTTCTTGAAAACTATAAATATCACAATTACAAGTAAATATTTTATGTAAAGAGATTACATCTTAAAATATAAATAATGGTAAAATAGTAAAAAAATCTGTCATATTTAATTTTTGTTAAGGAACGTATAAAAATAAATATGATAGATAATTTGAGACGGTGTACTTAACTTCAGAGGAGAAAACAACGACACAGCCGATGATACTTTTTAAGGATGTGAATAACATAACTTCTACACCATTAATTGTATTCCGAATTCATCAAATCTAAAAGGGAAGTCAATCCTATGGCCTATTACAGCAGAGGTCTAACCAAGTGGAATAAGAGCACATGCGGATGTCTTGTTCGACAAATTAACTAGCTGGTCCAGGCTTGTGAGTTGTCACGTTATTAATGTTAGAGGTCGTTTGATAGAGTGTGTTATAGAAAATAATACATGTATTAACTTTGTGTATTAGTAATATTTTGTTTGGTACATTTTTTCAATCTATGTATAACTAATACATGTATTAGTTATACACTCTATTTGGTATTATCCTATGTAAGCTAATGCATAGAAAACCATGACATTAGTTATACAAAGGCTATTAATGCATGCATTAGCATGGTTACAGACAAAATTATCCTTAAAGTCCCTTAAGTTAAAGAATATGGAGGGCATTTTTGTAAATAATTAAATTTCTTAAAAATTATGCAATGCATTTTAATTTTTAATACACTACACCAAACAATGCATAAGAAATAATCTCTATATAATTAATGTTTGCATTACTAACCCATGCATTACTAACCCCTGCATTACGAATGCACCTTATTTAGCATTATTCTTATACGCCCTACCAAACGACCCCTTAGTGTTTCTTGTTCCAACAATGTGAATAATGCTGTAAGTAACGGCACGACTAAGTCAACGTCTACTTCTCCATATGGACGTCTGCAAGATGTAAAAATTGCACGGTATAGTCAGTTTCCGGACTGATCATTCAAAAATAGTCAGCATTTACCAAGTCAATGAAAAATAATCACTATTTTGCTGCAACTGAGACCGGTCCAGCATAATATACTGGAGTTCGGTGCACCTGTGTATGAACTCCAGCATATTATGCTAGACCGGTATACTTTGCTGGCTCTAGTATAATATACTGGAGACTGGAGCACCGGTGCTCCAAACTCCAGTATATTATGCTGGATCGGTACACTTGCTGGAACTCCAGTATAATATGCTGGAGTTCAAGTATACTTATGTTGGAACTCCAGCATAATATACTGGCGTATTTTTCGGGTTTTGAACGGTGTTTTCGCTCAGATTTATCTTTACACAAAAAGTGGCTAAATTTCGATTACTTTTGAAATTGGGCTATTTTTGAACGACCAGTTATAAATCTGGCTATTTTTGAATTTCTACTTTTGGTGGAATGCTTTGTGGAGGCCCATATAGAGGGTGGTTATGGTAAGAAAAGAGATCTTTACACAAATAGCCGGATGGATCTATTATTTATTTTTCCTAGTTGAGTATTCACACATGCACAGACACACACACATACATACATACATATATATATATATATATATTAGTTTTAGGGTACGCGCGTTGCGCGTGTATCCTATATCATTATATACAAAACTTTAAGATTAAACATTATGAAATATTCTTTATAAACTAATTAAAAAAATTACAGATAAAAGTACAAGTGCCTAAAAAAATAAAGAAATGTTGTCCTACGACAGTCATTTGATGCCTTATTATTGGATCCAAAGAAACTAAATTACAATGAATTTTAATTTGCTAGATAAAATCTTTAGGTTTTTACTACTTAACATAATGTGCTTTTGAAATTATGAGTAAATAGACAAAGAAACTTTATACAAGGTAAACTTATATATAGTTCAAATAGACAAAGAAAATTTTATTATTAAAATAAAGACTCCTAATCCACAAATAAGTTCAAAAGGCTCATTTTCACCTAATATATTTTATAAAAAATTAGTCCTAATAAGTTAGTACCGAAACTTTTCTAACTTTCCTACGTCAAAACTTTATTAACTAAAGAAAAATTAAAACTGCAGAATTTTATTAACTAAAAAAATCTCCTTAAAAACCTTAAAGAAGAAATTTGGTACTCCTAAATATAAATGGAGTTGAATGAAAAACTTTCCTAGTTTATAAATATTAGGAAAATAATTAATGACTATTCTAGATAGTAGGAAATTAATTAAATGACTATTTCTAAATATTAGGGAAATAACAAACTTTCCTAGTTTAAAAATATTAGGAGAATAATTAAATGACCATTCTTAAATAGTAGGAGATTAATTAAATGACTATTTGTAAATATTAAGAAAATAATAAAATTACTATTTCGTATAGTGTGAACTTAATTTTTAAAGGGTAAAAAAGGCGAATGATATTTTGCTAAAGGCCTTCGTGCTTTTATTATTACTAGTTTTTATGTACGTGCGTTGCACGTAGGTCTTCAGTCGACTGCAATAATTTTCTAATGTTGAAATCAATATAGTACAAAAAATATCTGGATTTAGCTACGAAGTTCATCACGGATCCGTCACTACCAGAATTTTTTAATATTCTTTGATTAATTTGTTGTTAAATAGGATTAACAATAGATTTTACAGTTTAGCTACATAATTTGTTCGTCGCTAATATCAGTTTTTAGGTAATATTATTACATTAATTTAATACTTAAATAAAAGAATAGATATCATTTGAACTAACAAAAATGATAATTTAGTTTAGTTAGTTAGATTTCACATTTGTCACTTTGGTTGTTCCGTCATGATCAGAACTTTATTCTCTACATAATTATCGTTTCTGAAAGTGCAACATAAGGTTGTCCGTATGAAAAAACATGTTGTCGTAGTATGTCCAACACTTAGGATTATTTGAACATGTAATTTATTCATTATCATTGCATCAAATAAGCGTAAATATTTTGAGATAAAATTAAAAGGATTAGTGAAAGAATAAAAGGAGCAAAAGGAACGTCTCAAGGTAAGCATTAACCAAATATTCAATATATAATAAGAGGTTTCGGTCGTTAATTAGAGTCTTGTAACCTTAGTTTATGAGCAATATACAAATGAAAAGTTTTCAAAAAATTCATAAAAATATTATATGCTCATAAAATCTATATTTAGGACAAAATCTTCATCTAACTCCAACTAATGCATTATCGAGAATCTTTAAAGAAGCAACATAACACAACAAATATACTTCACATACTCATCCAGCTAAATATTATCACATTATTCACAAAATAAAAAAAATTAAAAGCAATGCTTTTCTTCTATTAACTTGTTTATGTGTTGTCTTTCCGTTTATGTATTGTCTTTTGAAAAATAATCATTTTTTCTAGAGTTCTGCAAGTAAAATTTACACAAAACAACATATAGTCGGGAGTCATACATATTTAGGTTCACATACGCCCAATATATATGTACAAAAATTTGTACAAACCTAGCTACCAAATCTACTTCCAAACAGACACGAGAAGCACGAAAAATATTGCCAACATATAGTCAATAACCACAATCTAATTTTGAACTTGCTATACAGTAGATAACATTAATTCATAAAATTGGAACCAAATTTTTCGAAGAAACTATATTTTGTTATTTATAAAATTGATGTACATAGTTACCTCAAGTAGAAAAGAAATCATGTTCAAAATAATCATAACGAACTTCAAAAAAGTATTTTTTTTGTGTCATAAGTACTAAATTATATATATGAGAATCATTGAATCACCATATATATAACAATTATTTTTTTAAAACATTAGTGATACAAATTTAGAAATACTTACTTTCTTATTGTTGAATAAAGAAGAGGTACTTTGCGCAAAAGCTTCTTGTTTTGGGTTCAAGACTTTGCTGTGCTCTTTTTGGCCGAATGGATATATTCTTTAGATTCAGAAGTAGTGTTGTTGCACCAGAAGCTAAAGTTTATATGGAGATTCTATTCTACGTTATGTTATAGCTTTAAAAAAGTTCTACTATGATCAGTTGGTTTCAAATTCCTATAGGTAAGGCACTAAATAAACTGCAGATTTTATCCAACATTCTGTTTTCTTTTTGAACTCCTATATTTTAGGCATTAAATGTTACCATATTACCCAACGTTTTATTTTTCTTTCAAAGAAATAAATTTATTTTGAAGGGTATAAAAGTCATCTAATATTTCAAGGATATTTTTGTTGTTTAACATTTAGCGTAAAATTCGTTCTAGATAGTAGAAAATTAATTAAATGACTATTTTTAAATATTAGGAAAATAACAAACTTTCCTAGTTTAAAAATATTAGGAGAATAATTAAAGGACCATTCCTAAAAAGTAGGATATTAATTAAATGACTATTTGTAAATATTAAGAAAATAATAAAATTACTATTTCGTCTAGTGTGAACTTAATTTTTAAAGGGTAAAAAAGGCGAACTATATTTTGCTAAGGGCCTTCGTGCTTTTAATATTATATATATATATATATATATATATATATATATATATTGATTATATTTATATGATTATACATTACCCGGATATTTTTTAACGCATGCTCCTCTCTCAAATATCATATATTTTAATATTATATTTCTTAAAAATTTCTTAAGTCTACATGTGCGCACCCAAGCTCAAAGTGTCACGACCCATTTTCATAATAGGTCATGATGGTGCCCAACACCATTGCCGGGCAAGCCAACGCGGAAAAATACCAAATAAGCTCTCATTTTACTTTTACCAACATACTTGCAATAATTCCTTAAGTTAAGATTAGAACGAGTGATAATCAGTAATGTACCAAAAATAATTTTATA